GAACACCAAACAAAAAGACGCCTTTTCTGGGTGGACTCAGCTCTTATTTATGTAGATCATTTAGTCACTTTTTCTATTGTTGCCTGTTGCTTGTTGCTTTCCTCCAGCCTATATGCAAGCATATCATCTACAAAAGTCAGTATCTTTCCAACTCTTGGTGCTTCTAGGCTTGCAATCTTGCTCGTATACACGTTAAAGAGCACAGTCGAGATTGCGGATACCTGTGGCACAGTGATATGGAAACAGAAAGAAAGAGAACTGAAACGACATCTTGTCAAAAGCTTTTTAATAAATACCAACATGATAAGGCACAATTTCAAAGAGCTAAATTGCAAGCTAGACACCCATGTTGGCATGAAAAAAAAACTTGTATAACCTTTGAAAGAGACACAAGGAAGCTGTGGAGGCTAGTAAAAGAAAATAATCATTAGAGCAGATGGATAAAGGCAAATACTACAATATATACAGAAGGAGCCATACTATTAAGAAAACAATCTACTAACCACTTTACAGACTTTTTTGCTGACGACAGCAACATTTATGTCTGCCCAGAGAAGCAGCCAGCGGCTCGAGAGAAACGACAAAACCCAAGACAAAACGATCTATTTCCCAGGATAATGGAGGCATCAATTACGTCTAGCGAGTAAGTGTTAGTAATAGAGCATGTTAAATGGAATATTCACATAGAATCGACGGAATAACCAACGAAAGGACCAAGAACCTAGGGAAACAGCCAAAATAAAATTATAATAATTGTTAGGTCAATGGCAAAGTTCCCCAGATATAGAAAGAAGCAACCATCATATCTCACCTAAAACCAGGAAAGGAAGTACCAGTGCCTCCAGTTATAGACCCATCAGTTTTACCAGCTGTCTCTGTAAAACAGTGGAACACATTGTCAATCTTAGACTTCAGTGGGACATGGAAAGTGAAAATGTCTTCACGCCACAGCAGCAGGCATGAGACAGTGATATTCCACAGAAGATCAGACAATTTACCTCTCTCAAGAAATTGGTGATGCCTTCCAATAAAAGAAGCTAGTGCTTGGGGCATGGATAGATCTGAAGAAAGCCTTTGATAAGGTCTGGAAAGAAGGTCTCATGAAGAAACTGAGAAACAACAAAGTGAAGGGGAATGTGTACAGATGAGTGAGAACATACTTGTTTAACAGTAGAGCCCGAGTACAGATGGACTCAAGAGTAAGAAAGTCTTACTTCGCTATGGTATCCCCCAGAGCCGTGACCTGTCCCTAATACTGTTTCTGATCTATATCAAAACCTAATTGCTGAAATACCCCATGATAATAATGCTGCTATGTACACTGACGGCTTGGTACTATAGTGAACACACACAAAAAAAGCAACAGTGGTCACTAGACTGCTACAAAGAGCCATAGATGCAATGGCTGCATGGGCTGATAAATTCACCCTTTCCCAAAAACAAAAATCAGGCGTCATTCAGATAAGTGGAATACCACTAAGAGAGGATAAGGAGTCCATATACCTAGGAGTCACGTTTAATGATAGGTTAACATTGAGAAAACACATCAACAAGGCAGCAACCAAAGCCAGAAGGAAGATAGCTACCAAAAGAAAACTAAGTAGAACAACATGGGGTGATAATAGGAACATCCTTAGGAAAATTTATCAACAAAGCTGTGGTGGAAACAATGGCAATGACCCAAACCCTGACAGAACGCAGAGACAACAAGATACTAAAACAAGCAGATTTGTTTTTATTATGCTTGAACATCTTTTTAAAGAAAGATTTACAAATCTAACAATAAGGCGATTCCCCCCCCCCCCCTTTTCCATCCCTCAAAAAAAGCTTATCCACTAGGCCCAACGACGCTTCAGGCAAACAACTGGTTTGCCCGCAGCTGATAAATGCTGTTAAATGCTATCTCAGATCGGACCCCAAGGAGAGAGGATTATACGTTGTCAATACATATCCAGAGAGCAATGAAAGGAGTATTCAACAATAAAGAGCAAAACAGTGTGCAGCTTTAAAAGGTACGCTCAGTCTACTTAATGATGAATAGCCACATTATTTTTGGATTCCTGTCTACACGGATCGGTAAGCAAAAAACGTAATAAAAGAAAGAGCTCCACATTGGAGTAAGCACATACCGGCTCAACATACTATCAATAGAAAGGTCCTTCGTCAACGATTGTTTCGTCTTTTTACTTCCTATACAATGTCGGAAGGTGGGTTGACCTGGTCTATGAAGCCAGGCCTCAGACATCCCCTACTGCACTTTATCGGACCTTCGGACAAAGACAAGACAAAAATTGTGAGATGTGATATTATATATTGTCGCGGCGGTAGCAAATTATGCGACTACCTTCACGACTAGAGTGACATGCTTACGGTTGGTTCATCTGACAGATGTTACACTTTGGCAATTGGCAAAGAGACACTGGCAGATATTGATCGGTCACTTTGGGTTTTCAGGGATGAAAAGCTCGTTTCCACTAGGGACTCCGACCAGTCTCCCTCGACCCATCCCTCACGACGTTCCGTTGCGTCCATAGCCAGCTCGAAGCCCTTTCAGCCGCTTCGCCCATTAGTTTTTGTGCTCGTTTATACTATTTTCCTCTCAAGCACAGCTGCTTCAGTATATTGTATGTGGAGGTGGAGATAAACTGTTTTGCAGATACCTCGACGGCGAAGATTTCTACTATGTACGCTTAATTTGTCCTCAAACCGGCCATCAATTAACCGTACAGATGATTTTCTTCCAGCACGGTCAGCTCTATCTGGGTGAGCTGGCGTTTTTTCTTAGAGTGCAGGATCATGTCTGGTCTCTCAAACGTAATGAAAAAATGATTTGATTTGATTTGATTCAAGAACCGACATCACAGCACGCGGGGCATTCCTATACGCGCTCCGTCTCCATCTTCAACAGCCAGCGAAAAGTTCCGATACTAATGGTGCCAGTAGCTTTCTGATTAAATGTCCGTCTTGACTTTCCTCTGAGCCTTGAGCTTCTGCCAGAACCTCTCGTCACCCCCAACTGCATCAATCTCACCAAGCTGTGGTGATTCATCTGCTCCTCCGCATTGTACACGATCTCATACAAGGCACTAACCACGTCTGCCCTATCATGTAGCAGTATTCCACCAAGTTGTGCAGAGCCAGCCAGTCTGTCCCGATGTTCATTTCCCAACACACCGGCGTAACCCGGTGAAAAAATCCAGACAATACTCCTTACTCGTGTCCTCCGCAGCGAAGCATGCCACTCTGCACGAAGCATACCTGTTCTGATCTTCCTCAGCATGCTTTCTGAATCAGTTACAATTACAATGTGTGTGTGTGTGTCATGTTCTCTAGCCAGCGGAAAGCTGCAGTGACCGCCTCCACCTCCATTCTTAAGCTGGATGAAAAAATGAAAAATTGGAGGAGAAGGAGTGTACAATGGGCATCCAAAACATACAGCTATGATGCAAAAGTTCAAGTCATCAAAATAGCAGCGGAGAAAATGCTAAATATATGTCATATTTCACAACCCGTGGTATTCCAGGCAGATGCAAGATCGGTACTTCAGGCACTACAATCTGGAAAATTATCAGGTATTCGAAAATTACTCTTTGAACTGGGCAACCGGTGTAAGGCAACCATGCAATGGATACCATCTCACTGTGGAGTTTCCGGAAATGAAAGACCTGATAAACTAGATAAGGATGGTGCAAATTAAGAACATCTAGAAGACGAGAATAATCAAATCAATCAGAACGCCATCAAAACCGGCAAAAGACGATTACCATTTAATGGCAGACCAGAGCAAGTAATTATTCTACACCTCAGAACAGAACACAATCGACTTTGCGGCCACATGTGCACAAAATGTCATTTTGGCGAATCAGCATGGTATGGGAGCCGCTGTGTCTAGCTGCTAGACGCTCGCCTGTGGATCGGACATTCTTGGGTTCGAGTCCTGACAGGGGCCGGACTGCTTTCAAAAATGACTTGGGCTCTCAGGTCGACCAAGCGTTAAATGACTACCAGGTACAGTCCTGAGAAGTAAAGGCGACCGGCGTGATGCTGACCCCCCCCCCCCCCCCCCCCCCAAGTGCTGTTTGGTCTATAAAATGTAGTCTAACCCTATATAATAATACGCCTGAAGACGAGGAAAAGCGTCCTTTACTTTTTAAATACATAGTATGGTCGGACTGATTAACGATCCTATATGTGAATTAGCACCTGGTACAACACAGGGCAAAACTTATGGCCACGAGAAACATCAGTGCAAGCCAAATGTTATGGGTCGCTGAGTAAATTACAAAAGACAGTGAAGTTCATAATAGAGACAAAACTGCAGATATAGATAGTCTTTTTCAAGTGAATGAAAGAAGAAGAAGAAGAAGAAGTAGAAGAAGAAGAAGAAGAAGAAGAAGAAGAAGAAGAAGAGAAGAAGAAGAAGAAGAAGAAGAAGAAGAAGAAGAAGAAGAAGAAGAAGAAGAAGAAGAAGAAGAAGAAGAAGAAGAAGAAGAAGAAGAAGAAGAAGAAGAAGAAGAAGAAGAAGAAGAAGAAAAAAAAAAGAAGAAGAAGAAGAAGAAGAAGAAGAAGAAGAAGAAGAAGAAGAAGAAGAAGAAGAAGAAGAAGAAGAAGAAGAAGAAGAAGAAGAAGAAGAAGAAGAATTCACTCAACTCAGGCTTAGTTCCCCTTGAGCCCTCTAACAATCACTAGAAAATGTTAAGGGGGTGAAGGAGCCTGAGCACCCCTCCTAATATTTCCTTTGTGTCTGCACCCCTTGTTCAATTCATATCTGCACCTTATATGTTATTCAAACTAATTTTTATTTTAATTATATGATTTTAACATGATTGATAATTTTTAAAAAATATCTTATAACATGATAGATAATGTTCAAATAGTATCTTAATTTCCTGATGAAAAAAAAATCAAAAAGAAATTCATTTTTTTTTTTAACTTTCAGTTGTAAAATATTTTCAAAGACAATAAAACTACAAACAAGTAATGTATTTATGTGCTTTTAGGGTTTTGAGACTGGCCTGCTGAAAATTATGGATAAGAATATTATCACTGACAATGACAACTATGTAAGTAATCAGCTTGTGGCGTCCCTATAGCGCAGTCCTGAATGATGTGATAATTCATGTGACGTTTAAGTATATCTTTTGCATTATGTACACAGTTGATACAGCATTAATGCCATGGACCATGTTGTGTAAAGGGGGCACATTAGAAAGGGAAAAGGAATGAATTACGAAATGACTACAGAAAGTATGAGAGCCGAGCTTTTGAGAAGAAACACACTGACAACAAATACTGACAACGATGTCTTGAAATCGCATGCTATAACTGAAGACTTTTCTCAAAGTGGCGGGTCTTGCTACACACGTTGGCAAGGTGATGAAAATGGCTTTCAGGTAGAAAACCCTTCAGAATTGACATCTGGAATGACATAACTCTGTATAAAGAGGAAAATCTGCCAGATGTTGTAAAGGAAATTAAACAGTAGAAGAACAGTATTTTGGGACTATGTGAAATTGCACGTGCTGGGGTGAAATCATTTTGTTCTCAATTCGTACATAAGGAACTCCCACCCCTCCCCCCCCCCCTTCCACACACACACAGAGTGAAAATGAGACCCTGATAGTACTGAAAAAAAGTTGAGAAGTCACTACTAATAGGATGTGACGAGCAAATCATAAAATAATAACAACAGCGTATTTTAGAGCATCCAAAAAGAACGGAACCATATATTTCTAGATGGGTGACCATCTTAAAGTTGGGATCCAATAACACAGGATACGAAGATGTTATGAAAACACACTGAGAACAGTACTGGATGACAAATGAGAATTATTCGCCAGTTCTTTGGCAGGAAACTAATATGTTATAAGCGAAAGGATTTCACTAATTTAAAAATGTTTTTTAAAAATACACAAGGCAACATGGGAATCGATGATCCCTTTTTCACACCTTCAGACGTATTTGGCGTTATAGGCTTGACCTATATTTTATAGACCAATCGGTACTTGGTGGGAAATGTGGCCTTCTTCCTAATACTTTACCTAGTACCTATTTAAGGCTGGGTCGACAGAGGTGCCAAAGTCGTTTTTGAATTAAATCCGGCTCCGTCAGGACCTTAACCCAAGACCTTCCGATCGGCAGGTGAGAGTCTAGTGCCTACACCATAGCGGCTCCCAACAAATGAGTTACCCAAGAATACAACAACAAATACAATAAATCATACCATTACAAGTAAAATATTTAATTATCTCTGCTGTTAGATGTCTTGTAGAGATGGATGCGTATTTACTGATCACCGTTGAATTGTTTAATTATGAAACTTAACTAAATATGTTCTCACGTGAACCAAATACTGAAGAGCCTCATTTTGAAGAAGTACTAAATGTTAAAAAAGAAAAAAAAAACGGTGCTAATGGAATTTATGATAAACGTATAAAAGAAGGTGGTCATGTATCACATTTCAACATTTATGAATTAATAAAAACCAGTTTAGTGGACTTACAAATTACCCCATGAGCAGGGAAAAAAGGCGTTATTAACACCCATCATTAAGAATTGTAACTGATTCAGAAAGCATGCTGAGGAAGATCAGAACAGGTATGCTTCGTGCAGAGTGGCATGCTTCGCTGCGGGGGACACGGGTGAGGAGTATTGTCTGGATTTTTTCACCGGAGCACACCGAAATGAACAGGCGGACAGACTGGCTGGCTCTGCACAACTTGGTGGATTACTGATACATGATAGGGCAGACGTGGTTAGTGCCTTGTGGGAGAGCGTGTACAATGCGGAGGAGCAGATGGATCACCACAGCTTGGTGAGATTGATGCAGCAGGGAGTTAAAACTGACCACTAGCATCCTGTAGTCTACTATACTGAAATTCATGTGGCATATCTATAAAGTATGGCAGATGATGATACAACGGAATACAATACATACATGACACATTTTAATCGCTGTAGACCACGAGGAATACCAGGAAGACTGTGGATAGATAATATCCAGGCAGACCTACAAACATTTGGGGAAAGACAAGAACTATATCAGGGATGAATTCAGGCGGGCGATATCTGCAGAAATAAATATCGGTATCTCGGAATTTTGAAGATGTAGATAGTTGGTAAGTAAAATTAGGTTGAAACTTTCGACTATAAACATCTTTCAGTTTTATGTAGGATCTGAGTGGTAACGAAATCAAGGATAAATAAGGGATTACAGTCTCGAATACGTTTAAGATTTTGCAACAGCACTGAACACTGCTGACAATAAGTTGAAGATGTTTTGTGTAGAAGTCCTTGATGAAAGAGAACCAAAACGAAGGGCAGGGAAACGCTTTGAATCTTTAACAAACTTTGAGAGAATGAAAGCAAAAATAATGGCAAAACTACAGCTGCTCAAGATCAGGCAAGAATGGGTTGCAACACTGAGCACTTCACGAATAGCTGCCCTAACCTTCATCTTTTTGCCAGGTCTTTGCGGGTGTTCAATGAAACGAGCGTGCAGACTATCTTGCTGACGCTGTGGTAGTTATGGCTGGTCCAGTACTGGACAGAAGTGATGTTATCAAGGCCATACGCTGCACTTACCGCACCGAGGAGCACGTAAAAAGGACATGACTCCATATCCCTGTCTAGACTGATGGACATGGGGATGCAGCCTAGAGCTGCAAGAAATGAATATTTCCCTAAGGGGTCAAGAGGTTTCATTAACCAACACAGAACAGACGTCATCAGTCGTTTTCCACTTGTGGAGCTTTTGAGATGGAGATCGGAGCACCTATGGTTCTGTCCGGAGTGCTGCGATGATAATCCTTTCCAATCACTAATCACTTGGACTGATATCGGTAAAGTCTAGAATGTTACTGGCCCAAGCCATGGCCTACATGTGAGTTACCAATGATGAAAATACATCCTCAAAGATTTTAGAAGACCCGATTTAAAAAAAAAAAAAACAGGAAGTCACAGATGGCACTAGCGGAATTTACCATCGGGTTATTGGTCTCAGTCAAGCAAATACACAGGGGGACAGGAAATAGTCGATTGGAACACACGCAACAGCAGTTTCAATCAGGTCATCACATTAGGAAGAGTATGTAGAGAATGGTATAAAGGAGGTGTAACAACTGTAACAGGCAGATTTCATCATTTGTTTCTTAGGAGGTGGGATATTGCGCAAAGTTATGATGTACCGGAATCAACAAGTTTTGGCAGCTTTAACATTCCCCTTTTCTAGAACAATCAATTCATTGGTAATAACATAGAAATATTTTGCAAATAAATAATCTAAACATAGTATATACTGTCATTGCTGACGTGCCCTTTCAAAGACAACATAGTAGTACTGGCTTCTTGGAAGTCTCCATGAGGCCAGCTGTCAATTTAATTACTATATTTAGGTGCAGAACAAGATGATGCAGTCTGATGCAATCGAGATATAATTTAAAAAGTCCCACGTGAGAATGCAAGTTTTAGCATACAAGAATTTTCTAGAAGCAGTGAAAGTGAGAAGAAAACGAATACCTAGCATTCAAGCATCTAAGTATAAAAAATGGGTAAGAAACCACTGAGTAAATCCTTCAGTCTACCAGACATATTAGAGGAGGGACTAGCAACATGGACACTTAAAGAAATCCTTCAGTCTACGAGACTTAGAAGAGGAAGGACTAGTAACATTGACCCTCAAAAAGAACTTTTGGCCGATGAGACTAATAGGATGAACGACTAGTCTTATGGACAACCCCCCCCCCCCCCCTAGTTGTGGAGATGCTAGCTGAATCCTAGAAGCATATGAACCAGTTACAGGGAGCTTCGCAGACAATCACCAGAGGAGAGATATGAAACGAGACAACGAACTACAGTGACAACACACAAGATACATGGATCCATGATTAGCAGAGACACGTTAGGTAGAAACACTACTGAGATGTTAGAGTTGACGATTAAGCCGTTAGTACCAGACAGCACTAGAAGCCAGGTGGCAGTTACAGACACTATAACCAGTTAACGAAGTAACTAGAGATGAAGAACACAACGCGACCTCTAGAGTATGTAACCATAGAGCTTAAACAGCGGCCATTCAGAATATCACTGATGGTGTTTGTGACATTGCTAAGGTATCACAATAAAGACAGTATAGAAAAGAAAAGGTGTTCCCAGACATTTGATTATGCAAGCGTCAGTCACGTGAGAAGCATGCAGCAAGCAAGACATCATCATTATCATCATCCCCATTATCGACACGACCATCTTTCTCCTAGTCTATTCTCTTTCAATAGACTCCTCTTTTAGCAATCTAAAGACAAACCTGGGTGTGACTTCAACGTACACAAAGAAGACAGCTAGATGATGCAGTAGTGTACACCGATGATTATGTTCATCGGGGTGAAAGATCTGACTGGATTTCCAGCCAGAGTGAATAGAAAAATCGTGGCTGAACAAAATGGTCCTTTTGTTATCTAAAACTTTAAGCACGAGGATGTAGCTCTGAAGTAGGTAGCAGAAAATAGAGTAACCAGAAGGGTTATAGTATATGATTCTAAGTCAGTACTGCATAAGGTTCCAAATATACAAATCTAGCATATGTAAAGACGAAGCATAAGCTCTCAACATTATGTTAAATATACTCACGTGAATATACTGTCAGTTGTATATATAGGAGTGCGAAGAAATGAAAGAGTAGATTTTCCGGCTACAAAAGTTATAGCTAGACGAACACTCGTACTGGACAAAGGAGATATTCTGAAGACAATTTATGAATGAATGCTGACAGAAAATGTGAAGTTAGATGAAATAACATGTGTAAGAATATGTGAACGAGGAATTAGGTGTGGATCGGTCAGGGAATGACGAATAAGAGAAAGATAATGACACCTGACATACGCTGCCCGAGACAGAGCTCCTATGGCAATGCCCGGTATGGTGCTGTGATGTCGGTTCTTAAATCATTAGTGAATTCAAATAAAAAGAGAAACCGAATTCACATTTGTGCAGCGAATAGCCTATCAGAAACTATGTTCAGCCACGTATATAAAGTTGTCAAACTTCGAAGCTGCAGATTTCGCTTTAG